CCTTTTTATAATTTTTAAAGATTTATTTGATTTTTTTCTTGGAAAGGCAGATTTACAGAGAGAAGGAGAGACAGAAAGATCTTCTATCCACCTATTCACTCCCCAAGCACGTGCAATGGCTGGAGCTGAGCTGATTTGAAACTAGGAGCCAGGAGCTTCTTCCAGGTCTCCCATGTAGGTGTAGGGTTTCAAGGCTTTGGGCTGTCGTCCACTGTCCTCCCGGGCCACAAGCAGGGAGCTGGAAGGGAAGTGGAACATCCAGGACACGAACTCGCACCCACATGGGATCCCAGTGCATGCTTATTCATCCCTTGCTTTAGAAACTCAAGTTGGCTTCTATGTGGGTTTTGTTTGTTTTTAATACACTTTAGTTTTCAGAACAATTTTAGGTTTGTAGTAAAAATTGAGTATAGATTTCCATAAATCTCCTGCCCTAGCACGTGTGTCAAAACTTCATCCTCTACCAGAGTGAATTTTTTTTTTACACTTTGCATTACGCTTCTTTTTGGTGTGGGTTTGGACAGATTTATCATAGAATAGTTTCACTTCTCTGAAAGTTCTCTGTGCTCTACCTATTAATATTACCTTCCTCCTGTGAGATATTTACATACTCTGATTCTATTTGCTTTTAATACTTCCTTTTTCACAGGAGGTACCTCAACCATTTCTCCAAGGATTTATGGTTTGAAAGCAAGAGCTGGGTGCCAGATGTGCTTGTTAACCTCTGTGGTATCATTCTGCTCATTCTCACTCTTAGCAGACAGAACTAAGGAGTATTTGCTTGTGTGCATTCTAACACATATGTTTCAGTATGTATTTGCTGATACTAAGACATATATGAATCAATACTGGAATTTCTGACCCTACTCAAGAGTTACGGGGAAAATGCTAGATTTTTTTCCTGTTACCTACAATTAATTTACATGTTCAACCTTACTATACAGATACATTTCAGAATTATTAACCCAGAACCCTGTGAGAAAAGTTTCTAAACTAGAATACAATCCCATACAGTTATTTTTTAGTCATTAATCTGACAGTATCCTTCACAACACCATTTTCCATAGTTATTTATTTCTACCTCTACTCTGCTTTGTGAGCTTGTGATATACAATTGTGGGCATGGACAATGGCAGAGAGTCCAGCATCCTATTGTCAAGATACAGTAAACAGTTTCATTGAAAGTCCATCTTTGTCTGGAAGTAGAAATGCATACTACACTGCATCCTCCTGGATGCTAGTCTCCATTTCACAGCTACTGTACATCCCCTCAAATGAAAAGTCATGATACAAAATCAACAATAGAAAGAAACATAGAAATTTACAACGCCATGAAGTTAAATAACATGTTACTACATATGACAGTCTCCATTTTCAGTTACTGTATTTTTGCTTCAAAATGTCTATTTGATGGTCTATTTTTAGTACTTGTTCCAAGATCATTTGTTTTTGTGCATACAAGTTTTAAATATGTAAGATTAATTTTAAAGTATAGTGTTATCATTCATGTCTGTGATTATCTTTCAATGTCTGCTGAAATTTCCATATTTATACACATACTAATTGATTTTAGCTCATATCCTGAAAGCTTTGGGTTTATTTTGAGATTCTCAATTCTGTTTATCCAAAATCTTTTGAAAGAGTTGGTATTTTTGTTTTCTGTGCATTGTGGTTTTTGTATAGATTCAATTTTCAAAGCTTTTGCAGTAGTAGTATTTGGATCTGTCCTGTGTGTGCACCACCTAGTGGTCTGTTTGGTACTTAGGCAGAGGTGTACTTGGTAGTGCAAATCTTTGTTAAGCTATTTAGGTTCAAAAGATAAATTAGAGATAATCCCTTGGATTCATATAGACTTTATTTAGTTACTTGTCAAAAGCCTCCTCTCTCCTTTATCTTTTCAGTACTTTTCAGCTCTACTGTCATGGTAGTACAACTTCCAGAAACAAGTTGCAGGGAAAGGGGTAAAAAAAAAAAAAAAAAAAGGATGAAGTCTAGTTGTGTCTTCTTGACACTGTTGCCCCACCTAGTGGACGGGCTCCCATTCTGGGCCATTTTTCCTGAGCCTTTGTTGCTGCTGTTTCCACTGTGGTGCTAAAGATGAAAAACAATTGAGACAGAGAGAAAAGAAAGGGAAAAAAACCCAAAGGATTCTCCCTTCCTCTTAGAATCTTAGTTCTCTTTTTCATTCTTCAAGCCCAAACTACAAGGCTTGATCTTCACCTGATTCTGTCTCCTAAACAATGTTCATGTCTGGGTTTCATGCCATTTAAGAGGCTCAGGATATTAAAGGGGAAAAATAATTTTTAGGTGATACTTCAAACTGATATTCTTCTCTAATCCATCTATACAAATTTGCTTTTTAGGTTTATGTAGGACTCTGTGCGTTCTGTAATAGCCTTTTATTTTAGTTAGAATTCAAAGAAGATCCCAGAGTCAAGCCTAGCTGTATGTGTTTTCGTAGACAGCATACACTCAAGTCTTGTTTTCTTATCCAGCTTGACAGTCTGTCTTTAATTGATTGGTGTATTTAGACAATTCAGATTTAAAGTTATTTTTGACAAAGATGATAAAATCTATCTTGTCAGCTATGTTGCAGTTATTGAATTTGTTCTGTATTTTAATCCCCCTTTTGTTTTTTTATTTCAATGTTTTATGATCCTGTCTTCTACATTTATCACATATATCTTTCTACACTTTCAGTGGTTCTCCTAGAGTCGGGTACAGAATTCCAAGTTCCACCTGATGGTGCCTCCTAGGGCCCGACCAAATGATCTTGTAGGCCTTATATGGCTCGCATGCTGGACATTACTCATACTTGTCCTTGAGTTTGCCACATACATTTTAAGAAAATTTGAGTTTCCCTTCATATAACATTACCCTGCTTCATGTGTAGTGTATCTTAGAACATGTTTTTCCAATTCCTTCCTCTACTACCTTGTATCATTGTTTTGTTTAATTTCATTCTTACATAAACTATAATTCACATAATACATCATTATCATCAAAACTTTAACATAGCTTATAGTTAGAATCGATTAATAATATGAACAATAGTTATGTTTTATTTCCATTTATTCCATTGTGAAAACTCTACCTTTGATTTTGGACATAATTTCCTAAGCAAATCATATCCCATCTGCCTAAATAACTATCATTGATATTTCTTGTAAGATAGTTTCATTTGTCTGAAAAGGTATTTTGCATTCATTTTTGAAGCATGTGTTTTGCAGGATTTATAATTCTCAATTGATTTTTTTTTCCTTAAACACCTCAAAAATTTTCTTCTGCTTTCTTTTTGTTTATATGGTTCTGACAAAAAGCCTAATGTAATTCTTTTTGTTCCTCCTTGGGTAAAGTATTGCTCATCTCGACTCCTCCTTCCTGGCCCACCTTTAAGTTTTTACTTTTGTTTCTATTTTCCTTTTGTGTTTCTTGTTGTTGCCTGGTTTGGTTTGGTTGAGTTTTTGGAGTATTGACCTTGCTTGAGGCTCTCCAAGCTTCCTAGATCAGTAGTTTGTTGTCAGTCACTAATTTTGGAATATTTGGACCATTAATGAGTGTGTCTTCAAATATTTTTTTCTCTGTAATTCTCTCATTATTCCCTTTGTTGTATTCTGAGAACATATATTTTATGCTGTTTGGTATTGTCCCACAGTTCTTGAATGTCTTGTTCTGTTTTCTCTTTTACCTGCTTTTCTCCATGCTCTTCAGTATATGTAATTTCTATGGACCTGTCTTCAAATTCAATGATTCCTCCTTGCTGTATTGAGTCCACTGATGAGCACATCAAAGATATGCTTCAGGTCTGTTACTGTGGTTTTTTTTTTCTCCCATGCATTTGTATATGATTCTTTTTTGTACTTTCTACCCCTACTGAAGTTATCTATCCAACTGCCTTTCCCAGCAGAGCCTTTAACATATTAATTATGGCTGTATTAAATTCCCTGTCTGATAATCCCAGCATCTGTGCTATAGCTGAGTCTAGTCCTGGTAGTTGTTTAGTCTCTTCAGACCAGTTTCCCTTACCTTCTTCCCTTTGTGATGCTCCCACAATATTTTGCATGCCTTACACTTAATTCCCACTATTAGTTTTTTTCCTGGTGCCTTTTAACTTGATAGTAGGAATAAGGGCTAGGGACATTGCAGTCTCTTCTGGTTACGTTCTACTCATAGGCAGGCTTATCCTGGGTGTTGGAGGCATGAGTCTCATGAATACTCCTGCCCCCCCCTTCAAACGTAATTGCCAGCCTAGCATGCTGTCCTGCCCCCTCCCCCGGTAAAATATATTCCCCTTTGTCCTCCCCCAGTTGTTGTGAATTTAAACAGATAACCCCAGTTTCTGTTGTCTTTCTTCTGCAGATTAATGGTTTTATTCTCCTTCGGTGAAATAAGGCAGATTGATGTAGGCAAACCACTAGATGATGTCAGCAGTTCTGCTCTGTGAGCGGCAGTGAATTAACGCAAGTGCTCTCATGCCGCAGTTCTCCTCTGCTGAAGATTGAGGCTTCTACCCCATAGCCATTTTGCCAGTGACTACCATTCCTTTCCCTTCCTCAAGCCAAAAACTACTTTTCTTGGGAGTCTTCTCAGTCTTCCCTGATGAAATTCCTGGAGCAAGACTACACAAAATCCTGTTGAGTTGCCTATGGCTCAGTCCCTATGGGCTTCATATTCTCACACCAGCCCACAACTAGTCAGTAACCACTCATTAATGATTCTAAGCTGAATGTTTTGTGAGTCTATAAGTTGTTCAGTGATCCTTGCACAGAGAAGCAGATGTGTGGGTCCTGTTGCTCCCTGGAAACTGCCTCTTTTTACAGATTGGGGGTTAGCATGTTGCAGCCTTAGTCACTTAATTAGGTCAAAAGATAATCTAAAATTTTCCAGCTCTTTTATCTTAATAGGGGGAAAGATGATCTTTCTAAATCTGTATGTCTGGTTAGATGCGAGAAGATTTGTGAGTTGGAAAATAAGCTTTTGAGACTCTGCTTCTCTTCCAGCATCCATACCCCAGTTTACCAATTCTCCCACAATGGTGATCATGGTGGGTTTACCAGCTCGAGGCAAGACGTACATCTCCACAAAGCTGACACGATATCTCAACTGGATAGGAACACCAACTAAAGGTACGTCTCTGAAACCTTGCCTTGTATAGCCCTCTGGAGACTGAGTCATGTAGCAGGTCAAAGCCCTCTGTACCAGAAATGCTTCATGGCAATCACTGCCAGGATCGGTAGTATTACTATCATACTACTAGCATTACCACTACGATTTTGTAAATGTTTATAGTTAAAAAAATGAGCACATATTTTTTGCTCAAATCCATGCTGGGTGCTAGGCATAGAAAAAAACACTTAATATGGGAGGGGTGGGGGGAATCCCCAGCGCCTATAAAACTGTACTACATAATACAATGTAAGCAACAATAAAAAAAAAGAAAAGAAAAGAAAAAAAAAACCACTTAATACTAAATGCATGCTCCCAATGAATTCCATTACCTCAAAATAACCCTGTGAAAAACTTATGTTCTAAAACGGTTGCCATGGGGTTTTTGTAGGTAATAAAATAAATTGCTAGAAAAAAACCCTGTAAGTAAAATATGACTTTATTACCATTATTATTATTATTAGTGTATTATTAAAATACACTAGTAGTGTATTTTAGTATTGCTATTTCTTCACTGTTTCATAACTGAGGAACCTAAGTGTCTTGTGTGCAAGCACATGGCTCTAAGCAACAAAACCAGAATATTTGTCCAGATCATTTTGATTCCAAACCTTATACTTAGTTATAGGTCTCTTACATATAACTCTACTGATAAGGAAAAGGGGATCTGATATTGACTCTGCACTCTCCTTTTCTCTATCTCATTCCACTTCTTTCTCTTCCCTATCTCAACTTCCTGTCTGCCCCTTCCCTTCAACTACCCCTTCCTCCCTGTTTCCAACTCTGTTATCTTTCATTTCTTCCTTCCCTTCATCTACTTGGACTTTAGCTAATTCAACAATGAAGGCATTTCCCATGTGTCAAAACCTATGTTAATCATTAATGGTACAAAAATGGATGAGACTCATGCCCTGTGCTTGACGAAACTCAGCATGGCTGGGAAGCGTAAGAATGCTTCCTGTCATCTAGAAGAGAATGTTGAGGAGGTGCACAGTCCAACCAGGATCACCAATGGGAAGACAACAAAAGCTTTTCTGGTAAATTATATTGAGCTGAGTTTGTGGGTGGAGCAGAACATTGGCAGAAGGGAAGTTAAAGGAGCACCTCTTCGAGATGACTGCAAACTGATAATGGGAGCCTCTGCTCTGATCCTGTTGCTTCCTGTCTGCTGCGCTCTCCTGGATTCCCGCAGAAATCTCCAAAGTCATATTTCAAATCATGAAACTGATCATGGCTAAGCCCCAAAGATCACATGGACCTGAAGGCCTAAATCAAAGCTCCTGAGCCTGTTATCCAAGGCTATCCAACATTTGGTCCCTTCCAGCCTGTCAGGTCATGTGCTACTTCCCAAGCATATTGGTTTCTTCCAATGTCGTACTGTTACTTAAGCTTATCTTCCATCTACAATGCCTTTGTGTCCTGCTCCATCCCCATTCCTTCCTGTAAGAATGTTTACCATAGAAGACCTGGTTCAAATGCTGTCTCCTTCAAGAAATTTTCTCATAGCACCCCAAATAGATTTAGTCTTTTCTTCCCCTAATTCTTTTGCATGACTCCATAGTGTCTCTGACACAGTAGCTTAATAACTTGCCTGAGGAGTCTATTTACTGGTTTACCCATTGCCCTACCTGATTAGTTGTGAACTCCCTGAGGAACTTGTCATAGATCTGGTTAAGCTCTGAAACTTCAAACTCATATCCCGACTCACAGAGTAAGCATCAAAAAGCATTTGTTGGATAGACGAATGCAGCACTACTTTCTTCACTGCTTATCCAGTTTGTCTTTCTTTCCATTCTTCCTCCCAAATTTTTCACAATTATTTTGTGGGAAAGCATGACATACAAATTTGGATTCAGATTCTCCTTCATGGTACATAAAAATTATATAACATGACCTTAGCAGTCAGAGAATCTAGTCTTATCTATCACCATCTCACTTGGTGTTTACGTCTTAGTGACAGATTTTATTCTACAAATCTCTTTCCTCATCTTTCCAAAAATATTTGGAACTTAAGGAGTTCGAATTTTTTTGATAAAGTAGGGTAGTGGTAGACTAGTGGAAAGACCAGTAGCTTTGGAGCCAAGCACACTTGCATTAAAATCCAAATCCCACTTTTTCACTATAAAGGTTATTTATGAACTCTGAGTTTTAATTTCTTCAGATATAAAATGGGAAAGATAATGCCTACCTTGCAAAGTTGTGAAACATACTTTGTTTAAAGCTTTACAAGTGTATTTCATAGATACTTGTTATACACACTTCAATGTCTGAGGATAATATCCAACAAGGAACTTTTTGGTCCTGTTCAAGTTCTTTACTGGCGCTCCCCTGCTCTTTCAGTGTTTAATTTAGGCCAGTATCGCCGAGAAGCAGTGAGCTACAAGAATTATGAATTCTTCCTACCAGACAACATGGAAGCCCTACTTATCAGGAAGTAAGTAACCAACATTCTAAGGACATGTGCTAACACCTCACAGTAGAGGAAGATCTTTGTTCAGATGTTAGGAGAGTGGGGCAGAGTGACATGGGCTAGGGAGGAGGCGCTCTAGACTTTGGGACAGCCCTCTCACCATCCTGCATAAAGCCTGTTTCTGATCATAACCATCACTGCTCAAGAGCCTTGAGCAGTTTCCAGTTTCTGGCAGGAGATTATAGTAATTTCTCAGCCTAGCCTTTGGCCCCACTTATCTCTCCAGTCTCATTGATTCAACATCAAGGTCTTTCTTTCCTATAAGACTCTGAACACTTCCATAATTGAGCCTAGGTCTCATTTTTGATGCATAGAATCCTACATTAAGTAATGACCAAAAAGATATTTTTACTGAAAGCACAAATCAAGTGAGCCTCTGAAACAATCATGGAAATGGAATTAATTTTGTGTTTAGCCTTGGCAGCCTTACCCAAGCCCAAAAGGCTTTTTGCTTCATAGACTACATATGTCTGTCTGGTTCATAAGTCAATTCATCTTGAGCTCTATTAAGCCAAATGTTAGAACCCCTAATAATATGGCTTCTGTCACTGTTCAGATTTTTCTGTATATGTCACAATATTTCTAACTTTAATTTATACACACAGCACCACTTTCAGCTGTGTGATCCCTCTGCTTAGCATGATAACTAGAATATCAAAACCCCTATGTAGATGTTTAATAGATGATTGGTTTAAGGTAAGGCATATGAGACATGATACAGAAAATATTGCAGAGGGATAGGAGCACATCCTGCAGAGTAGAGATTATTTCTGGTTTTTTTTCTTTGTCTTTCTCAGGCAGTGTGCCCTGGCAGCCCTCAAGGATGTCCATAAGTATCTCAGCCATGAGGAAGGTCATGTTGCGGTAAAGAAATTTCCATTCCCTCCCCCCTTGGGTATTTCCTAGAATGAAGAGTAGCTAATACATACTGAGAATTCACTATGTGCTATATGTGCTATACATTTTTCTTGTTACTTTGTATATGTTGATTCTCCCTTTGTGACAAGGATATTGTCATTACACTCCATTGTAGAGTCCAGAAGAATGATTCACAGAGAGATTAAATAATTTCCCAGGGTGGCACAATGTGCATGTAGCAAGATCATAGCTGAATTCAAGTTATTCTTAACCACTGTGATCTGCTGTCTACCTCCAAAATTCAGCAGGAGTAAATATACGCATTTAAGACTATGGTACAAACATGTATGAATTCTAGTGATTTACCAAAACATGGTGCCAGTTTAATTGGTGTAGGATGTTCAGATTCTCAAAAGGAAAGATATCCTGAAATACAGATTCATCTAAGGTATTGAGAACAAGGAGTTCTTATTCTTGAGAACTTCTAGACAGAAGGGAAGAAGCCTCACTTAGGAAGTCAGAGGACCAGCTCTAACTCTGCTTTGTCAGTAACTTCCAGTGCTTTTGGTCAAGGCAAGTTCTCAGTTCAATTACTCCAGCTGCAAAATGGCCTTCATGAAAGCCTACACTTTTCTTTTTTGCCATAATTTTACTCACAGGGGCTGGTATATTTACTAGGCAGACAGTAAAGCCTGAACAAGTGCTTGCAAATTTGATGCAAGCTAATTTCTTCCTGTATTTCAAAACCTGGTTTAAGTTCTGCTTCCTGCTTAAGGACATTCAGTTAGCACAGGGATAGACAAAAAGTAGGTGTTCTATCAACATTGGATTCAGATTAAGTAAATCTCATTGCCTGATTCTAGGTTTTTGATGCCACCAACACCACCAGAGAACGGCGGTCACTGATTCTGCAGTTTGCTAAAGAACATGGCTACAAGGTACAGTAGCACTCCCTCATGTCTAGAGCATAGAGAGCACAGACCAACACAAATACCAAAAGGAGGCAAATAAAGCATTCCATGGCAGCCAAGGTGACTACCATAAGCACCACATTTTAATGTGTTCAGATGGATTACCATAATACTGTCAAAGCAGCAAGGCAGAACAGGAAAGGTGGGGAGCCACATTAGGCCATGGAAGATGACCAAGGAGTAGAGAAAACTAGAAATAAGCAAAAAAAAAAATGTATACAATGATAAGAACAGCAATGAAAACAAAGCTGCGATCCAGGGCCATTCATTTTGAAGCCAGTCTGCCTCATAAAACTCAGTAGCCTGAAATCATACTGTATGAGAACATTATGTTGTGAGAAATGACCCTAGGGATGACTCAGCCGGTGGGAAGGTTTCAAACTATGTTTGATTCCTACTAAACATAACTCCTTCCTGGAAATCTCTATTCTGTTTCTCTTGTAGGTTTTTTTCATTGAATCTATTTGTAATGACCCTGGCATCATTGCAGAAAACATCAAGGTAAAGAGCATCACTTGCCTTTCTGCCTTATTCTGCTCTAGGATTGGAGCCTCTGTGAGGCTGAAGGAAGTATTCCTCTGCAAGCTTCTCCTCCCTATCATATGGAAGCATTCTCTGGTTATTCTGGCCACAATAGTTTGATGAAGTTCAATGAAGCCAGTGTCAATGAGACACTTTAAAAAGTTCACAGAAAATGTAATTCAAAATATATTTATTTTTGGTACAATTTTTTTAAAAAAATTCATGCATAGTTTTTTTCATAATACACATTTTCTGTGAACTTTGCGAGCACCTCATGTATAGAACCCTTAGTACGTGTCAGGTACTCAGCTTTTCTCTCATTAATTTTTCACAGTAAACATGTATGTTAAGGATCATTTTCATGTGGGGGAAAGAAAACTAAAGTTTCAAGAGAAGGAACTAATCACCCAATGTTCTGATGGCCGGAAAGAGGTGGAAATTGAGTTGGAACTTAGTCTTGGCTCTCTGCTTCAAAAGTCTGCATCCTTTATTCTGCCCCATAATTAATATGAGAGCCATCGCCACTCTTAGATTCTGGACATATGGTCTAGAACTAGATCACTCTCCACAATTTGATTGTTCCCTACTTCATCAAATCACTGGAGCTCAGAATTAGAAGACACTTTAAAGATCATCTCTTCCAACCCTACATCAGACACTGAAAGTCTCAGCCACATGTTTGTCTCAATTTTTTTTTTTTCATAACTACATGACAGGATACTCATTGCTTCAACAAATGTAGTCTACTCAGGCTGAAATCTGACTTCCTCTAATTCACTCGGGAATGTATAGCATGTCCAAGTCTTCTTTTTGCTTCAACCTATCCATCTATTCATTGATTCAGCCGAAATTTACTGTATGCCATAGATGGGTCATTTTGGCACTTTGGAGACATGAAATAGAGAATTCATCCTTTGAATTCACTCAGGTGAAGGGAGACTGACAAGTATGTAGACAGATCGCTGAGATTCATGCTGTCATGAGGGATGAGAGGAGACTGGGAAAGCAGTGATGAACACATAACCTTGCATTGGGGGAGTGTGCCAAGCAGGCTGCCTGGAGAAATGATGGCACTGCATCTTTTTTACTTTTTTTTGTTTTTATTGTTTCCATGATATAATTTTATAGGTATAGGGATTCCCCCTGCCTTTCTCCCTCCCCATCTCCCCTCCCCATGTTATTACAGCAATATAGTCCTTTACTAAGTTACAAGGGTTTTTGTTTGAAGATTTATTTTTTTATTGGAAAGGCAGATATTTACAGGGAAGAGGAAAGACAGAAAGATCTTTCATCCACTGGTTCACTCCCTAAATGACTGCAATGGCCAGAGCTGAGCTGATCCAAAGCCAGGAACCAGGAGCTTCCTCTGGGTCTCCTATAAGAGTACAGGGTCCCAAGGTTTTGGGACATCCTCTGCTGCTTTCCTAGACCACAAGCAGGGAGCTGGAAAGGAAGTGGAACACCCAGGACACAAACCAGCACCCATATAGAACCCCGGCTCTTGTAAAGGGAGTATTAGCCTGTTGAGCCATTGCACCAGGCCCAACAGTTACAAGTTTAATATTCTTCTATTTAAATTTATCATAGCATTGTAGGTATAGACAATGGAAGAAAATCTAGCATCAAATTGTAAAGGTATAATAGTTTTTATTGGGAGTCCTCCTTTTGTTTGGAAGTAGAGATGTATACTGCAATGTGTCTTCACTTCCCAGTATGCTAGTCTCTGTTATTCGTGGACCTGCATATTGAAAAATGCATACAAATTTAGCAGGTGAAGAATGAGAATAACAGAGTATACGTATACTAAGTTTGAATCTCCAGGAAACTATAAGTAACTTAAATTGGCTAAAGCAAAGTATGTGGACAAATTGGGGAGCAGTGAGACATGAGTATAAAGACATAATTTGGGACCCAATCATGAGAAGCTTTAGGTCACTTGCTAAAATCACTCACATTTTTCTCGGAAAGGTATGCAGAAATGATGAAGAGTTTGAAGCAGGAGGATGCCATGAGCAGATGTTTATGTTAGAAATATCCTTCTGGCTGCCAATATGGAGAATAAAAAGCAATAAGACTTTAGATAGAATAATGAGTCACAAAGCTAATGGTGAGCACAGGCAAGACAGAATGGATATTTAGAAAATGAAGTGGACACAATTTGGGTCCTACTAAGAGTTGATGAATCATGGGAAAAGATATCTGGGATGATTTTAAAGATTCCATTTAGGCTCATATGATTGGGCTAATGGAAATGTCACTCCCCAAGACAGATAATGTTGATTGGTAGGTGAATATATGGGATTAGGCAGTAGGCAGTCCTTTCAGAAATCCAAAGACAACATCCTATGCTTTCACAGCAAGCACCCTACACATGTGAGCTATTATGACCTGTGACTAAGACTTCTAGTTCCTCTTTTTCAGCTATTTTTTCATATCATAATTTCTGGTTCTCTTATAAGTGTTCTTCTTAAGCAGTATGCTGTCTGGGGCTTAACTGATATAGCAGTCTTTCCTTGATCACATAGAGATTAAGAAATCATACAGTCTAACTTCTGAAGTGTCTAATTTTGTGAAGTTAGGAAAGACTTTCGCCCCAAGTCTCAATTTCCTCACCTTTATAATGAACGATGATGAACACAGTGCTCTTTTAAGGGGTCCTCCCAATGACATTGTAACAATCTCTGTCTCATGTCTGCCTTTTGCCTCTGTGCTGCTTTTAGCAAGTGAAACTCGGCAGCCCTGATTACATAGACTGTGATCGGGAAATGGTTCTAGAAGATTTTCTAAAGAGAATTGAGTGCTATGAAGTCAACTACCAACCTTTGGATGAGGAACTAGACAGGTAAGAGCCAAGAACCCCACAGTCAAGATCTGGTTCCTTATTGAAGTTTTGGTGTCCTGTAGGTCCTGGGAAAATATCCTCTGTTACTAGATCTAAACTTTACTATCTGTAATATGAGAGAGGTGGATGTGTTTTCAAGGATCCTCCCCACTCTAAATTTTCTGTGAGACAATAATTCCATAATTGTATAAGGTGTTCATCAGATGACTAAAATAGTTCTTTCCTGAGCAATATCAACAGATAAGCACATTAATATCAGAGGTATCTCCTTGTGGTTATTGCTATTATAGTGAAAGTATTCTTAGATAACATTTCAGTTTTTGCCTTCTTTGTTTCATTGAATCTCTATGATACTCCTGTAAAGAAGGCTGAGTTATGTCCTATGGTCATCAATTTTCAAGAAGGGAAAATTCAGTCTCAGAGAGCTGAAACTGCTTTCTCAAGCTCGCTCCATGATTCTAAGTATATATGCTGTCTTCTAGCCATGTGTCTTCTCCCAACATTCATAGACCTCTACAATCAGTACATATTTGACTCATTTGAGCTTTAGTATATGTAGGGAATATAAATGGTTCAAGAGAGATGCTTTTTGTCCCCAGAGAGCTTCCATAGGGCTTTGACACATGGGAAAATCCGTGAAAAACAAAAAAGTTTCTTTTATTATACCAAAGAAAAACGGGGCATGTATTAGCTGGCAGTATAGAGCAGGTGTTAGGTTTAGATATGAAGTGTTATCAAAACCCTACTCTCAGGAATTGATTGTAGATACTCATTCCTTTTGGGAGAAAAGTGTGAAGAGTGTGAAGAGTAAGAAAGCCTCAAATGACCATGACAATTCTAGGAAGTATAAATATCATCCTTCCAGCTGTATCCAACGGAAGTACCAGGAATTGAGCATTGTTATTGCTCTACTTCTTTTTTCTTTTTTAAAAAATTTTTTAATGTTTTGTGATACAGTTTCTTAGGTTCAGGGATTTCCCCTTTCACTTCCCCACTCTCCCCCATTGTTTTTCCCTATATTATAATAATAATATAGTCCTTAAGCAAGAGCCACAAATCCACAATTCTTCTATTTTAAGTGTATCGTTACACTGTAGGTATAGACAAATGTAGAGAGTCCAGCATTCTGTTGTCAAGGTATATTTAACAGTTTCATTGGGAGCTGATCTTTTATTCAGAAGGAGAGATGCATACTGTGACATATCTCCACCACATGGTATACTTATTGTTCCACTCCTTAGATGGATAAACTGATGTTTAGATATGACAAAGGCACACTTTAGAATCAGTGGTTGTTTATAGAACAGATGCTGCTACTTCATCATGTGTTGCAAGTGTGTGTTTCTGACTGGATGAACAGCTCCCAACGGGGAGACGTAGGCTCCCCCACTGCGCATACAATGCCTAGAATGAGGAAAGAATGGTTTTGAATCCTCTGTATCTGTGAGGACGGAAACATACACATTCAGTGGCATAGGTGCAGATGGCTACAATTTAGTATTTACCTATAGGTCATAGAGAACAAATTTTATTATTTGAGATATTCAGAGAACAGTAGGCGGGATGGAAGAGATTGGCTCAGGATCAGAAATGTGAAGGAGTGGACAAGGCAGAAGCTATCAATGATATTTTTGAGGCAATCAGGGCTACAGAGGATCATTATTTCTCTTGGAGTATGACAAGGTGTGAATCATAGGGAAGAGAACTCTGGCTCCCTATAGTGTGAGAGTCAAGATTAAAATACAGCCTCGCTCTAGTAGAGCCTGAGGAAAGCCACAGGCAGATATGAGAGAAAACAATGAGCTCCTAGGGGTAGCCAAGAATCAAGTCTCTAAAACAGGTAACCAGAACATGGCAAGGCATGGCATCTTGTGAAAGCAGGTTGTGGAGGGGGCTTGAAAATAGCATGTGTGGTTGGGACTTTCTCTTGGGATCAATCTGCCAGCATCAGCCCCTGAGCTGCCCTTGCTCCTGCTTGGATCTGGCCCAGCCACCTGTCCTACATCAAGATCTTTGACGTGGGCACACGCTACATGGTGAACCGAGTGCAGGACCACATCCAGAGCCGCACAGTCTACTACCTCATGAACATCCATGTCACACCCCGCTCCATCTACTTGTGCCGGCATGGCGAGAGTGAGCTCAACCTCAGGGGCCGCATCGGAGGAGACTCTGGCCTCTCAGCTCGGGGCAAGCAGGTAGGCAGGGTCCCATGCACCCCAATGTCTTGGCTGGCTGAGCCAGGTAGGCTGAAGCCTGAGCTGGCCCAGGTGTAATTGGGACTAAACTTGCTTGGCAGAGTGGCCATGTGGCCTGGGTGCTGAGGAGGTGTCCCAGGGTGGGGCAACAGTACATTATGCCCACTCCCAACTTCCTCCCCATCAGCCATTCAATTGGGAAACAGCATTGAATAGCTCCCAGGTACCAGCAGCTTTTGTGTATCTCCTAGCTGGAACCTGGCCCTCCAGGCCCACCCCAGTCTGGCTACTGTGTCCATCACATGACCACCATTTGCCTCTGCCTCTCAGCTCCCATCATCTTCCTCATAACTCTGTCTTTGCTTGTGCACTATCTCGCTGCCCTTGGTCCCCTGTGGTCACTAGTGATCATCACATGCATACACAGCCACCAGGAGGACCCTACACTGAATCTTTTGACTTGAAGCTGATGCTGCCCTCAGATGTCTCATGGTTAGCATCTTACCCACCTCTGATGGTATCATGTCACTGTCCTCCCAGCTCCATCCCAGGATGGGAGGGTCACACAAGGGTAGCATGAGGTGGGGAAGGAAGTGTAGGGGATACATTTGCTGTCATATATTGGAAGCCTTTGCACAGTCATGGTGCCTTCTGTCCCTCATCTGATATCCACAGCAGCTTCGTGGGATGCGCATTACCCACACCAAGTTACGAAGGAGGGAGTTGAGGCCAAAAGTGGAGCAGAGAGTGGCACCAGGTCACACAGTCTCTGAAAGACACAGCTCGGTCTGAAAGGCAGGCCATCCTGCCTTGTACCTCAGTAACCTGCTGGAGAGGCAAGGAGGGATCCCAGATAAGGCACTGTCACTTAAAGGCCCAGTCCTCATGGCTCCCTTCTTCTCTGTCACCTCCAAGCGGCAGCCTCCATGGGGTTTGACTTCACCTGTGACTCATCAGAGCAGAGTGAGAGGCCACGGTAGGTGGAACCCTGCTCTATGACACCACATGCAGCTTGGGTTCTCTTGCTGAGAGGTGGCTATGTTGCTGCCCATGGGCTGAGGGCCCAGGCAGACTGTGGCCATCTGCATACAGGTCTCCTGCTCACAAATGTGTGTACTTGCTTGTACATACCTGGCCCAGCCTTCAGCCTCTTAGACCTGGTGCTCTGTGCCCCCCTGACTGCACACTTTCCCATCCATGGCCACTGCATAGCCCCCACTTATACACCACCTGCCGCATACCTAGGAGCCGTCCCAGTGCTGCCAGCTTGCCATGTGAAGTGGCAGCACAGAGACCATGGGTGAGAGAGTGTTTCAGGCTGTGAGGCCTGGGAGGGCAGGGGTGTGTCCCAGGACTCACAGGGACCACATATGGAGCTGGGGGAACCCACGTCTCTGTGTCCCGGTCAAGAGCTCCTCGGGCAGGAGTGCAGAACAGTGGGCTCACGTGCACCATGAGCTTGTGCAGGACAGGCCTGGGGCTGGGCCCCTTGCTATGGGCCAGTCCATCTGGGATTGCTGCAGTGCCTGTGCACAGCGCAGTGGGCCACCTGCTTCCCTTTGCTCCTGTCTCTTGCACTGGACTAACTGTGTCTTGAGAACAGGGACTCTCAGCACCTAGCATGGGAGAACATGTACTCAATACATTTATGAATGTTCTTCAAGCCAGGTACTAGGAACCATGTTCAAATACTGAGAATTTACAATGTTGAAGAAACATGTCTCTGGAATCCCATATCTCCCACTTGCAAATCACACTCTGAGCATCCCGAACATTGGCAAACTTTGCCTTTAGGTCCCCAGAGTCTGTTTCTAGTAATTGCATGGCTCTGTCTCAAAGTCTGTCTTCTTATGGGCAGGATATATGGTAGGAATGTTCGTCCTTAGGTCAAAAGATGTTTCAATGCACATTGTGAAGTGTAGGGATGATTAGAGATATAGTGTTGACAGAGCTTGGTCATTTCCTAACTACCCACAAACAAACAATCCTCTAGAAGTACAGGATGAAGCTAGATATGGAATAAGATGAGGGTGCCTCCATTTAGATTCTTTTTTGACCATTACAAATATTTGTGGTGAACCCTCCAAGAAGAGGGTTCAGTGAGCAAGCATCAATGAACACACATTACATACACATGGGCACACATAAGCACATGTATCATATTTACCCTTGATCCATTATCATGTGGGGGAATATATTACTTCTTATAAATTTGTGACGTTTAAATGCTTTGCACTGCTTTTTGATTACCCCTACACCATTGATGACGTATCTGTAGTTTTTTTCTCATGGCTATACAGTCCCCTTTCAGCTCTCTTAATCCTTCTCTTTTCTTCCTTTATACTCCAGTATGCCTATGCTTTGGCCAACTTTATTCGGTCCCAGAGTATCAGCTCCCTGAAGGTGTGGACGAGCCACATGAAGAGGACGATCCAGACAGCAGAAGCTCTCGGTGTCCCATATGAGCAGTGGAAGGCCTTGAATGAAATTGATGCGGTGAGATGAAAGAGCAAATCTCCTAGTGAAGGGGGCAGCTCAAGCTCCCATGGTTCCCTTATGGGAAACCTAATCCACTTTACAGTTTTGTTTTGGTTTTTTTTTGACAACTAACCATGTGCCAGGCACTATTTTATGTCTTTGTGATCCAGTGAAGGCCAGAGTAGACAAGCTCTCTGCCCTCATGGAGCTCAAAGGCAGGCAACAAACAGACCATTGCATCTCACTGTGGTAAGAGTTAAGAAAAGTAAAGGGAGGTGTGGAAGATAAGAAGGTGGGGTGCTCCTGACTAGACTGTGTGGTGGGGGTAAGTAGCTTCCTGGAGGAAACTAGAGAGAAGAAGCATGAAAAATGGATTGGGCAGGGCTTAGGGAAATAAATTTAGTTCTGGGACAGAAAACATCATGGGAAGGCCCAGAGGTGAGAACAGACTGTGGCATGTTTAAAGAACTAAATTCAAGGAGAAATAGCAGAGGTTGGGTCAGTAGTGAAGGCTGGAGAGACAAGACCTTAAGACCTTACCATCTGAGGGATTTTGATGCTTCGCTGACAACAATGGGAAGCCACAGTGCCATGTATCTAAATCAAGGAATAGTCTGAATGCAATTTCCATTTTTGAAAAGTCCCCTTGAAGAGTAGATGGGGTAATTCTGCTGCTTGTTTCACCTTAAAGCTCTCAATAGAAGTTCTCAATAGACAGTGCATATCAATCAGTAACGCATTCCTGCTATAGTCCTCATTCTACAACTTAATTGAATCAGTTAAGGGAGGAAATGCATCGCAAAAAAGGGGGTGGGGGAACCTAAAGACCAAGAATGGTTAAATGGGGGCAGTAGAGACAGAGACAGCACGAATAATAAAAGGCCCTTTTGCAGTTATCAGCAACATTAACCTCAAGCTCACATTGATAGTAAAAAAAACAACTCTGCAGCAGCAAACAAAGCCTGAATGGGTTACAGAATTCTCAGCGGGGTGGCCGGGTGTCCATGCAGAGGAAGCTGGAACTGCCTTCAGGTGGTTGTAGAGACATCCACTGGGCCCTGCCATGCAGCGGGCAATTCCTTGCAGCCCTGCCTGCATGGAACAGTTCTCCACCCACCTACATGTCCTCCACACCCACTGCATGGACCCCAGCAGAAATCATTCAAATGTACTAGCTACAATGAGAAATATTAGAAAAAGGAAGTACACTGCTGTGTATGCGCATATGCACATGCCCTTGTACATTCTGCTACCAGCACCCATCATAGATGTACTTGCTTCCGCTTGCATGCACTGCACAGACACCTGGAACCACTCCTATCACCAGATATGCACACACAAGCACAGCTATACACACTTAGAAATATGTACACATTCTTGTGTACACACATGAGGTCTTCACACACACAGGCATTTGTGTGTGTAGTAGATGTGTGTATATATATGTGTGTGTGTGTGTGTGTATATATATGTATGTATGTATATATATATGGAAAGAGAGAGAGTGTGCCTCCAGCTTAGAACCACAATTCATACAGACCTCAGGTAAAGGTACACTCACACATACGTGCCAGGGACATGAAGGATATACACATTTGCATTCATGCATATACATGCCACAGAGACAGACTCACATGGAAAAGTGTACCACAGAGGAGCTCACATGAGCATTTTCTCAGCATCCAAACTGTTCGTGTTAGCACATGCACATTCACACTCACATACACACTACGTGTTGAGATATGTACATGCACAAACATCATAAACATGTTGCACACACACAGTTATATCACAACCAGAAATCTTTAAGCCCACATGTTTATACAAATATATACATATGTTTATGTATAATATAAAAGTTTATATAAATGTTATAATGTGTGAGCATATATATGTGTGTGTATACAGACCTACTGAGGAAATCAGAAAACCACCATTCATCCTGAACACACAAATCATATACATCCACCCTCACAGCCACACCCCTCATGCTCCTGTATACACACTCACAGGCACAGCCCCAGAGTTGTGCTCACAGAGTCCCAGGAGTCCAGGTTCAACAAACTTGGAGCTCAGAACTATGGGAAAGCTGTACATGGTTTCACCATGTGAATCCTTGCATCTGCTAATATTTTTTTCTCAGGGCGTCTGTGAGGAGATGACCTATGAAGAAATCCAGGAACACTATCCTGAAGAGTTTGCACTACGAGACCAGGATAAATACCGCTACCGTTATCCCAAAGGAGAGGTAAGCCTTGGAGGAGCGACCTAACTTTCAGACTGCTTCCCCAATATTTCCCTTCCAATGTGCTGGATTCCACAGTTTCCTAGAAAGCTTTAGAAAAGGAAAAAGCCTATTTCAAAGCAGCTGCCTTCCCACAGAGCACATCAGATTATTGGCTCTAGAAAACAGATTCTTTTTTTTTTTTGAAAGATTTATTTTATGTTTATTGGAAAGTCATATATGCAGGGAGGAGAGACAGAGAGGAAGATCTTCACTCCACTGATATACTCCCCAGGTGGCCTCAATAGCCACCTGATCCGAAGCCAGGAGCCAGGAGCCTCTTCCATATCTCTCATGCAAGTGCAGGACCCCAAGGCTTTGGGCCGTCCTCCACTGCTTTCCTAGGCCACAAGCAGGGAGCTGGATAAGAAGTGGGACCGCTGAGACATGAACTGGAACCCATATGGGATCCTAGCACATACAAGGCAAGGACTTTAGCCACTAAGCTACTGTGCCAGGCCCAGATGATTTTTTTTTTAAGATTTATTTATTTTTATTACAAAGTCAGATATATGCAGAGAGGAGGAGAGACAGAGAGGAATATTTTCCATCCATTGATTCACTCCCCAAGTGGGCACAATGGCCAGAGCTGATCCAGTACAAAGCCAGAAGCCTGGAGCTTCTCCCAGGTCTCCCATGTGGGTGTGGCGTTCCAAGGCTTTGGTCTGTTCTCAGCTGTTTTCCCAGGCCACAAGCAGGGAGCTGGATAGGAAGCAGCACCACTGGGACACCGGTGACTATATGGGATCCTGGTGCATATAAGGTGAGGACTTTAGCTGATAGGCTACTGCTCTGCCAGATATTTTTTATGTGTTATTTATTTGCAAAGCAGAAAAAGAGAGAGTTAGAAAGAAATAGAGCTAGTGCCACCATCCACTGGTTCACTCACCTAGTGCTGCTGTAGCCAGGCCTGATTCAGGTCAATGCTGGAGTTAGACACTCCATTCAGTCTCCCTCGTGGGTGGCAAGGACTCAGACATGCAGACCATTTACCTGTTGCCTTCCGGGGCGTACATTAGCAGGAGACTGGAATGCAGAGTGGGCTGCTACCAGCCCTGGGACCCAGACACGCCATATGGGATGCAGGTCTCTCAAGCAGTGTCTTATCTGTTGTGCCAAATTCTTGTCCCAGATTTTTCTTTTCAAAATCTGAGCAGTTTTCTGCTTATTCTCTGCCTATTTGTAGGAGGGCCTACTTTATCTTAGATCTTGCCATTAGTATCCCCTCACTGAAATGCATAAAATAATTCAACATATTACCTGGTGTTTTGTTACCAAGATGCCTAAAGCTGCAGCCTGGCTGGGCAGTTGTTGTCATCCCAAGGGAGAATGGCTAATAGTGCAGCTAGCTTCTTTGCCACCACAAGAACCGGACCGTGAGTTCCATATCTCCATACGAAATGAACACTCTTTGTTCTCAATCCAGTCATCACTAGATAGTTCCAGTCATACTCCATTTCTGATCAAATTCCTGGGAACATCAGAAAAGCAGGCCTTCTGGGAAGATAAAACAATATTCCACTTGATTACAGAATACTTTCACAGTTTTATATTTCAGCCTCACAAATGCTGTTGTAAGGAAGTTAGTCTTAATTTGCCTTCATTTTCCCATACATATACCCATATATATTATTTATTTATTTATTTGTTTGTTTATTTATTTATTCATGTGATCTATTTCAGTTGTTTGAAAAGTAGAGTTACAAAGAGACGGAGAGGGGAAGAGATGTAGGGAGAGCAATATTCCATACGTGGGTTCACTCCCCAAATAACTGCCAAGGTCTGGGCTGTGCCTCCCCAAAGCCAGGATGCCGGAGTCCAGCTCCAGCTGAGTTTGGAACTCAAGAAGGGTGCGTGGATGAGGCGTAAAGAGGAAAGAAAGAGACGGACCACTAGGACTTCATGATCATAATGGACAATGCACAAAAGCTGTCCACTTTATTTATACAAAATCAGTCAAACTCTGGCCCAGACTTTTTATGTCATGGTCAAGTGGGTGTTTCTAAAGATAACTCTGCCATAGTATTACCTAGAAGTTCCTGCTGCCAGTACCTAGAAGTTCCTGCTACAATTCTTATCCTACAATTCAATTTTGTATCACAAAGAAAAGGAGAACTTAAAGATCAAGGAAAGAATGAAAGCCTAAATACAGGTCCCTTGATTAGCATAGGTTCAATGGGGACAGCCAAGACAGTAGGAATGATAAAGGGCCCTTTTTGCAAGATATTGACCTCCAAGCTCGGGCTGAGCAAATGCCAGGATGGATTAGAATTCTTCCGCAGGGTGGTCCAGTGTCCATGCAAAAGAAGGTGGAGCTGCATTCAGGTGGTTGTAGAGACATCCGCCGGGTGGGCCCTGCCAAGCAGCGGGAAATTCCTTGCGGCCCTGCCTGCAATGGAACACTCTTCACCCCCTCATGTCCCCCACATCTACTGCACGGACCCCAACACCAGGATCCAAGAGAGTTCTTCCAGATCTCCCGTGTCAATGAAGGGGCCCAAGCTCCTGGGCTGTTCTCTGCTGCTTTCCCAAATGCGTTAGCAAAGCTCTAGATCAGAGTTGGAGGAGCCAAGGCTCAAATCAGCATCCATGTGGGATGCTGGTATCACAGGTGGCAGCTTTACAGGCTGTACCACAACACCAGGTCTCCGTTACAGATTTTAAAGCTATATTTTTAGAGATAGAAGGATTTAAAGCCACTATATGTTCTCAGTGAATGGTACATTTTGTTGTTACGTAAGAGAAGAAATATCTATTGCTCCAATATTGCTTTCAGCTGAGAATAGTCTAATATAGCTACACAAAATCTCTTCTCGTTTGCTTAGATCACCTTTATCCATTTACTTTCATTTTACTTTTATTTTTATTAATACAAAGTAGACAAATTTCATGTATTTCATAGGCACAGTACTAAGGTAAGCGTACATCCTTCCCCCTCTCTCCTTCAGTTCCCCTCTTTCCTTCTCTTCTTTTTCTATTTTGGTTTTTTTGGTAATAACATACTTTGTTTGCTTTGTGATCAGTCATCACTAACCATGGTATTCAGCAAGTTAGAAGTAGGACCACTGTTTTACAGGAATATAGACAAGGGCTGCATGCAGTAATCCGATAATTCAGCTTCAACTTCTCTGTGTATTTTTATTTTGTACTTTTTATAAACAGTTTATGGTTGGGTTTCATCCTTAGGCAAAACTGAAACTATATATTGTTTGAACTGTGAGTTTTACTTTTATTGCAAGTGCAGATTTCTAAAGTTCATTTCTGCGATTCCACCCTGAGATCTCCCCTCTGTTTATTTTTCCTTTTTTTCTTGCTTTTATTTTTTACTTTTATTTTTCTACATTAAGATCTTCCCTTTCATCAAAATTTAAGCACACTATACACTGTATTTCAAATACGTATTTTTTTCTTTATTTGAAAGGCCAAGTGACTAGGAGACGGAGAGAGAAAACAAATCTTCTAGCCACAGATCCACTCAAATGGCCACAAGGCCAGGCCTGGGCCAGGCAGAAGCCACAAACTCAGAATTCCATCCAGCCCTCCCACGTGGGTGCCAGGAACCTAACTACGTGGGCCGTTCTCCACTGCCTTGGGAACGTGAGCTGAATTGGAAGCCAAGCAGCCGGGACTGCAGTGTGGACTGTCGGTGGTGTCCCAACCAGCAACTTAATCTCCTGCGCCACCACGCTGGCTCTTTAGTAGTGATTAGTTGATAGTAAAATCACCAGTCATTATTGTCTAAAAATAATTTTGTGGTGGGGGTGTGTCTTCCACCCTAGAAGATGCTTTGCCTGCGTGTAGAACTCCGGATTGCCTACTTGCTTTCAGTACTTTGCAGAAGTTACCTTTGCTGTCTCCGGGCTCCTACTGTGAGAACAAACGTGCTTTCCGCCTAGCTGTTGTTTCTTTTCTCTCCATCTATTTTTTTAAAGTCATTGTGCCATTATTCATTTTACATTTCATTTTCATATGTCTGGAGATTAATTTCTTTTTGTTTATCTTGCTTAGGATTGGCTGGGCTACCTGATACTGAGAGTCAGGATTCTTCATCAGCTATGGAAAGTTCGGTGGCATTTTATCTTTAAAAATTCTCCTCTTACGTTATTTCCATTAGCTCTTTCTGAAAATGTCATTAGATATGTTTTAGTCTTGCCCGTCCTTCATGTTGTCTTTTAATTCCTTTTTTCTCTCTTTTTGTATCTGCTTAGTGCATTCTGAGTAATTTCTTCTACCTTATTTTCCAAATTACTACTTTTTTTAGAAGATTTATTTTATTATTTTTTATTGGAAAGTCAGATACACAGAGAAGAGGAGAGACAGAGAAGAAGATCTTCCATCCAATGATTCACTCTCCAAGCGGCCACAATGTCCAGAGCTGAGCCGATCTGAAGCCAGGAGCCAGGAGCCTCTTCTGGGTCTCCCACACGGGTGCAGGGTCCCAAGGCTTTGGGCCGTCCTCGACTGCTTTCCCAGGCCACAAGCAGGGAGCTGGATGGGAAGCAGGGCTGCTGGGATACAAACCAGTGCCCATATGGGATCCTGGGTGCATGCAAAGCAAGGACTTTAGCCTCTAGGCTACCGCACCAAGTCCCCTCTATTTCTTTTTATACGAAGAATTGCATGTTCTAATCATTAGAGTATACCTTGATTTTTCAAGATATTTTTAATAGGTCATTCCTTATTGATTATATTTGAAATAGCCTCTGTCCTTTTAAAAATTACTGAGTATTTCATCATATAGGTGTACACAGCACTTCAAAAAGTTCTTTAAAAATGGAAATAAAAGATAAGTCCACTTTGATACAAAAAATGGAACCCATGCAGTAGTCTTTTTAAAAAAAATACACAATTCCACAAGGTGTTAATTATTCTGAATATGCATGAATTCCAACATTTGCTGCATCAGAATTTATCTTTAAGGGCTACCTTACGACATTTTCTAATACATGTATACAATCCAGATT